TGAGAGAGAGAGAGAGAGAGAGAGAGAGCATTTCACACTGTTGGGCTGAGGCCACAGTGAAAGACAGATCGATATCCCCCCCCCTTTTCTCTCCTTTTAATGTGTCGCCTCACACCTTCTCCTGTCTCAGACCACTAGTGTTCACCCTTGACTCCGAGAGAAGGACGACAGAGCAAATGGCAGTACAACTGGCACTCTGAGCTTCATAAGATGTTGGAAAGAAACTCGTTCATGAAACAGTTCACCCCGAGACATCGATCACTGTCGGCATAGGGTAAGTCACGGCACGGCGTCGGGGGCTGCCATAGAAACCATAGTATCGGCAGGCTCGCTAAAGTCAGTATATGTATGAGCAGTCTGAAATGTTATTTTGAACTCTGCTTGTAGGCAAAGTAGATATGGACAATTATAATAAAGTATGCCCAACACCGCCACTGGACATCGCAAGAGGGACAAAACCAAAGTGACATGGAGACGCACAGTAGAGTCTGAAATGAAATCATGGAACAATTCGTGGGGGACGTTGACCAAGATGGCCCAAAACAGAGCTGGAGATCCTTTGTTGCTGCCCTAAACGCCAGATGGCGTAACGGGTAGTAAGTAAGTAAATAAGTAACACCACCACTGAAAACGACTTCAACCTGACATGTCTGCCCCAAGAATTGAGGCAACTGAACTTTGGTGTACGAAAACTGCTCGAAAGTATACACATCATGTATAATGATTAATGTAGTAGCGCTTTGAATGTTGTCACAGAAGATGCAATTAATAATAATATTATTAATGTGAACCAGACCTCGGGTATTATAATATTGTTACAACTCCAGTTTGGTAGTTTCCGTGCCTTCTATTCATACGGCATTATAAAGTGTACAGAACAGAATGGACATATCATCTGGGTTCACTTTACGAACGCAAGGAGAAAAACTAAAAAGCGTGCCCCTATAACTATAACGCAGAATGGTTATGCTGAACAGATGTTACTAGGAATAAACATTTCAAAATTGGTTGCTGACCGGCATAGTGTAGGCTAATAATAAAGAGGGTTCCGCGACACAGCTGAGAAATCTTGTAGAGGAACGGTTAAATAACAATAATAATGATAATGATAATAATAATAATAATAATAATAATAATAATAATAATAATAATAATAATAATAATAATAATAATAATAATAACTATCATTCTTTTAAAACAATGGGTACTGAGTGCATCAATTTGGAGAGTACACACACATAATCAATCACATAATACGCTTATTGATTACACTTTCTCTAATCGCTGTTTTTCTTTTAGGCATAGAAGCATGAGCTGTTTAATTAAGTACATGTATTACAACGAAACATTCCCCTATAAACCTACGGACTTGGATGATGGACCATATAATAATGCTTTTAAAACAAAATGTTTTGTGGTTTGAGGAAAAGAGTAATTGGTACAGCAGTACAGTAGGGCGAAGTTTGGCATAGATAACAACGATTATCCTGTGCACACAATCATGCCTCACCAGCTATGCATTTTCATACTCAACTACTTTCCAGAAGTTTGCGTAACGTTGGCTAGCTGTATTTGATTTATCGCACAGGATTTCTTCAAAACAAAGAAAACAAGTTAGCAGAGAGGTCCATATTGCAATACGTTTATTTGGGAAAGGGTGAAAAGGGGTAACTTGTAGCCTACGTGCGACATTTTGTCAGTAGGGTGTTTTAAGCTCCCAGCCGTACAATTTTGTTAATTTAGGAGGCAAGCTTCTATCCTGCCTGTCAAGGCCAACCCGGACTGAGAGGAACACAACGTCCCCGCAGAAAAAACCGAGATACTCAATAAATTCTGCCCACACGGGAATCAAACTTGGATCTAATGTATGTGACAGCAAAGTGATTAAAAGCTACACCATAGACGCCGGTGAACGGGTTCTGCTCCTTTTACTACTTTCCAGTTTTGTTTTGGCCCTAATCCATGGTTTGCGAGCGAAATGAGGTCGTAATATCGCGCACCCGTCGTAAGCGAGGACTACAGAAACGACGAGACTACATCAACAGCAACAACAGTATACATCACCGTGGTGTACACGATCGCTTGGCTTCGAGCTAAAGGAAATACAGATTCGAACCAGCAGACCATTGCAAAAATTAAGGAACAAGTAGTAGGTCAACTTTACTCTATGCTAAGTACTCACAGTATTTTGAATCTAACACAACTGCCTTGTAAAGAAAAAGCACATGTGTTGAAATGCCTTTTTGCAAATTATGTGGCAAGGGCTCGCACAAGAAACAGCAACCCAAGAAACAAAATAAAAAACCTTAAAAAAAAACCCAAACCCCCCCAACAACAACAACAATAAATATAAAGGAAAGCCCCCCCCCCCCGCGCTTCCCGAAAACAATAGACGCAATAAACCGACTCGACATGATATCACAGACAGGCAAAGCGCTATCAGAGCTGCACGAGTTAGCCAAAAGCAGTACATGTCTGCATGTACCAAGAAGACAGCTTCATTACTTTATCAAACAATCAGAAGAAATGGGACAGGGTCGGGGATTCCAAACGAAACGTGACGGTGACTTTGTGTTCTTCATACATATAATTTGAACCAGTGGAAAAAGGAACAATAAATTTTGCACAAAGTTGAAAACCTAGATACTAGATGGCTACTTGTGCTATTTCTTCTTGGGTCGAGGTATGTCCACCGGGTCACTGTGATCCCACGTGATTGGATTCCTAAGCTTGGAGGGCGGTGCACTCATACAGCGCCGGCCTTGCCAACTCCTCGCACGTGCTTTGGGCATGTGAGCTCCAGCACCAGAGGGGCCCTTTTTGCTTCCAATAGACAATTTCTTTATTGTCATAGCCTCCGACACCCAATCTGGGTGTATCACGAAGTACTCCGCCTGCCCCGCATGGGCTCCGACAAAAAACCCACCATCGTAAGAGTAGGAGGAGCTGGGTCGAGCGCTTGCTGATTTCACAACTGGAGAGCCCTTCTCTGATGTCGCATCACGTGACGAGCGTGGTGTGGAAGAGGCGGAGCTTGTGTACTGTCTGTGGAGAAAGCCGCCGGACGGTAGGCTCTGGCTCATCATGTGACCTGTGTCGTACCACGAGTGGGTGGTCTGGTTGCGTCGCTGGTACGCCACGGAGCGTGGGATTGGCTGTCCTGACATTTTGGCGGCTCGTAGGCGGAGCGTCAGCACGTTCAACTTGCTGCTCTCGTTTGGGTGGCCTCTGACCTCCTTGTCCTTGTCTGTGTTCGGAATTGACGAATGCTTCTCAGTGACGTCAGAATGTTGTCTTCTGGGGTTTCTGAAATGAAGATTATTTACTTTTCGTCAATACAAGAAAAATCGTCTTTGAATAGTGGGTAAAGTTTTCCATATTTGGGGGAACCGGTGTCTGAGGTGTAGCATTTAGGCGCTTTGCTGTCACACACGGGAGACGAATTCGATTCCCGTGTGAGGATACTGTGTATATCGAGTAACGCGGTCTTTTTGTTGGGATGTTGTATCCCTCTCAGTCCGGATTGGCCCTGATAGACAGGGTCAGAAGTCCACCTCCTAATTGATCTAAACTGTGTCGATGGGTTCGTAAAACCACCTGCACTAAAATAAAAAGAGAACAAATAGACTCTGTAACAGTCATTTAGTGCTGGGGAACAAAATCAAGACGAACAGACAGATAAAACTGAGGTCAGGTTATTGATAGCAGACTGTGCTGTACTTGGATCAGATCGGAAATTTTGAAGACATCCAAAGCCTCTTACCTTTAGTGCCATTGAATCAGGTGCATAATAATATATCGCTCATTGTACTCATTTTAAGCTCCGATTGACACAATTCAAATCATTTTGGAGGGAGGCTGTTTTAACTATGCATGTTGGGGCCAATCTGCCCTGTCATTTGGTACAACTCCTCAGAAAACATTACATCCTCTTCTCAAATTGGGATGCAAACTCATATCTTGTGCCTACAGGCTGGGGAGCCAAGCAAGGACATCATCGACAGAGGGACAGTGATATTGATAACGCACTACATCATCATATTTGTATAAAAAATGTAAGTAGATCTAACCAGATACGTCTGATGACCGTCAGCAATGACGTCATAGTGGTGCTATTATTCTGGGTGGTCTCATTGCGGTTTTCCTGGATAAAGTCCTTGATGCGGAGTAATAGAATAGACAGCCCCAATACACGAGGGAAATCAAAATAATTTGCCCATTTACGAGGACAATACGCTCACAACCTCAAAAGTGTAAATACGCATTTAGCACAACTAGTACACGTAGAGAGGCGTTTTCGATTTGGTTGCTCTAATAATATGGATCCAACTGTTTACAGAGAACATTCCCCAATGAAACTCATCTCGCTGTTCTTTTCTTCGCCAGAGACCCAGTTCTGTCTCCAGTGCCGCTGACCCCTTTGGCTTACTCTGTATAAACATTGGCAGAATATTGTGTTGAGCGGGTACGCACGGGCACCCGCAAATCAGAATAATGTATGATGAGTATGAGACCAAAGAACGACCAAGCCTTAAATCAATCGATACGCAAAGCACCAATAACATGATCCTGTACAAGAACCCTGGTTCTCATTAACTCGTACCCTACCTTTCATCATTACACTATGAAGACAGGAGCAAAAGAAAAAGAAAAAAAAACCACTTAGAATTTCTCTATCACAAGGGGCACGGTATTGACACCCCCCAAAGAAAACACACAAAAAACCAACAAAAAAACTGCTCTTTTTTTAAGGAGTACGAAACGTTTTGAGCATTATTTTCTATCCCCATCGATTATATTTAAATTTCATCTTTAAAAAAAGCAGCAAACAAACACGGACACTTAGGACCGGTGTTAGACATCATGTGTCTTAAAAAAATGAAATTCTGCTTTCAAGCCAGGTTTGACTTTTTATATTTTTCTCTTTCACTGTTCTGCCTGGGCCCCTGGGTTTCTTCTTGGATTCCCGCGCCTTGATAGCATGTACCTCACTACCTGTTAAGTCCTGACAACACACACGATATTTTAACCTTTTGGCTAAATGCTTTTTTTAATTAACGACTCTGATAATGGGAGGATATATGTAACACATTTTGAATCGTATCTTGGACTTTCGTGCGTCGCCATGTGCGAAGTAATTCATGCTTATACACAGAGACACTACG